ATAATTTTTTCTAAGTCTTTCCATTTCCTAACAAATGGGGAAATGTCATTCTTTCTGATAGAGGCATAGAATTCCATTGTGTATATTTTCTTGATCCATTCATCTACTGAGGAGCATCTGGGTTGGTTCCATATCTTAGCTATGGTAAATAATGCTGCAATAAACATAGTTGTGCTGGTAGCTTTAGTATGGTCTTGTTTGTGATCATTTGGGTAAATGCCCAAAAGTGGTATTGCTGGGTCATAGGGGAGCTCTATGTGGAGTCTTCTGAGGACCCTCCATACTGCTTTCCAAAGTGGTTGAACAACAATGCACTAGGGTTCCTTCTGTCCACATCCCCTCCAGTATCTGTTGTTATTAGAGTTCTTGATTATAGCCATTCTAACTGGTGGTGTCTCAATGTTGTTTTGATTTGCATTTCTTTTATGGCTAGGGAGGTTGAGCATTTCTTCATGTGTCTATTGACCATCTTTCTTCCCTCTTCAGAGAAGTTTCTCTTTAAGTTTTTAGCCCACTTATTTATTGGGCAGTTGTTTCTGAAATCTTTGTTCCTTAGTAATGTTATGTTTTCCTAAGTGGTCAGATAATGATCTATTTATTGAATATTCTGTAACTAAGAATCATCATATTTACAATAAGTGGATTACTTATTGTGTTATTTATGTTAACATAACTGTTTTTAATCTATTGTCTTACCCTTGTTTAGATACATAGTTTTGAACATTTATGCTATATAAGAATTATAACAATATTTGGTTAACAATATAATATAACTTGAAAATAGTTGCTGTTAAAACTGTGTTCTAAGTAAAAATTTTCCTGATTCAAAAAATGAAAAATCAAGAACCTGAAAAATCAAGAACTAGAAATATCTCTGAAAATGTAAAATGTCTTGATCATTTGTGTTCTGAATTGTCATTATTCAGATCGTAGACTTATTTGTTATTTGTAATCTGGAGCAATATGTCTCCACTGAATTTTCTTTTTAAAAATGTATCAGGAAATAAAGGAAAACATATGGACCTGACAGTGCTTGAGGAGAAAAATTATAATGTTCCGGTTGTTAGAGAAAAGACTACAGAAAGAACTACTCATCAAAGAACTGCTCATCAAAAGATACCATTTGGAGAACCGTGGAATAGAAGACATTTGTCCACTTACAGTCAACAGAGGGCATGCACTCCGCCTTGATCCTTCCTAGCTCTCTAAGGAAAGACAGGAAGCCATGCCTGGGTTAAAGTCCTGAGACTCCAAGGAAGGCATCAGAGGACAGCTGCTGCTTTGCTGGCCATGTTTCATTTGTTGATGTAGCGGGGGTGAGTGTATGTTTGCTTTGTGACAGTTCACTAAGCTAAGTTTGTGTTTTTAATGCATTTTTGAACAAGAGTTTTATATCAGATAATATGCTTATCTCCTTTTCAAGTAAACAGCTTTATTGAAGTATAATTCAGGTATTATAAATTAACCTTTTTGTATGTGGGCTCGCCTGTCCTGAGTCTTAAACCCAAGGCCTGGGTGCTGGGCTCTACCACTTAAGCCACCGTTCCACTTCTGCCTTTTTTGTGGTTAATTGGAGATAAAGAGTCTCACAGACTTTCCTGGCTAGGCTGGCTTCAAACCACCATCCTCAGCTTCTGGAGCAGCTAGGATTGTAGGCAGGAGCCACCAGCACCTAGCTTAAATCAACTGTTTAAAGTACAGAATTCATTGGCTATTAGCCTCTCCAGATCTCTAAAAGCATTACTCCAACCTAATTTAGAATGTTTTCATTACCTCACAAAGAAGCCTCATACCCATTTTAGTCATTCTCTATTGCATCTACCCCAGCCCAGGTAGCCTCTAATCTTGTTTTCTATGGATTTGTCTGGTCTGCCCATTTCACTTACATATACTCATCCAGGATGTGCTTTTATTCTGCTGAGAAGTAGACAGAAAATCAAATAGGTGAAGGCTGAACCCCAGCTTTACTGCTAGAGTGAGGACAGCTTTTGGCCACACCTTTCTGTCCAGCTTGTTAGGGAATTGCTGCCTCCTTTCCTCTCAGTGCTGGTAGCAAGAACAAAATGAAGAGATGAAGACCAACTTTCCTTGGGGAACATTCTTTTCAGAGCCACCGGAGCTTCAAGAAAATAGAAATATCCAGGCATCCATACTCAGAAAAAAAAGAAGAGAGACATTTTGTTAACATCAGACTAGTAGCAGTACAAAAACAGTAAGCCAGAGTTAGCTTGAGGACAAAATCCCCTAGAATCTGGGACTTTGAAAGTAAGTGTGGGGGCTGCTGAAAGGTAGGTAAACTGAACTTGAGACTCCTCCATGAACCTGGGGTCCTTGGAGGAGGCTAGAAGTCTCCCACTCAAAGAAGTAAAGGGATATTTTATCAGAAGGAAAAGACAAGTGTAAGGTCTGAGTTTATAATTGAAAAGTCAATAAAACAACAACAAAAACCAAAAGTCATGAGTAAGAGTAAAGAGAGCCATCAAACAGGACTTCCTGTTCAAGAGTCGTGAAGTATAAAATGTCTAAGGACAAGATGCTTTTGAGAAAATGAGGCCAAGCCCAGCAGTTCATGCTTGTAATTCCAGAACTCAGGAGGCAGAGGCAGGTTGATTGAGAGTTTAGCCTAGGCTCCATCATGAGACTCTATCTCAACACAAAAGAAAACATGATGGAATGAATAAAGCCAGTGTTTATCACTGGATACACTGTTGCTAGTCCAGTCTTTAATATGAGGCCTAGATCATGAGTTATAGGATGCATAGCATCCCCACTAGAGAGGGTCAAGCACAGTACATGAGGCTGAAACAGACAGACTATTGAATATGTACTGCTGGAAACTGGAGTATGCCTGATAATAACCAATTCTTACCTCTCATGGTACTTAAAAAATCAGTCTCATATGAATTAAGTATAGAAAGAAAAAATTTTCAAGTATTGAAAGAAAATACAGATTAAGTTAATGACAAATTTCTGCTGGCTATCTGCTGTTTATAAAAGAAAAAAACTAAGAAATTAGAATACATTCCTGTTAAGGACTTCTCTTCTACAAGAGAAAGTATAAAGCCAATGAAAAGACCAGCACCATACAGGAAGGGCAGATTTTCTGCACACAGCAGTGAAGTAACTTAGCTCCAGAACATGTAAGAAGTCCTACAGGCTGATAAGGAAAACAGTTACTGGAGAATAGTAGTCACTGGCATTTCACAGCATCAAAAATTCAAATGTCCGAGTGTGATAGACACAGGGAAAGATAATCCTACTAATAGAGAAATACACATTAAAATCACTTTTTTTGGGGGGGGGGGTCCGGTCGTGGGCCTCAACTCTGGGCCTGGGCACTATCCCTCAGCTCTTCAGCTCAAGGCTAGAGCTCAACCACTTGAGCCACAGTGCCACTTCTGGCTTTTTTCTTTTTGTTATGTGGTGCTGAGGAATCAAACCCAGGGCCTCAGGCATGCAAGGCAAGCGCTCTACCACTGAGCCACCTTCCCAGCCCTTAAAATCACTTTTTACACAACTAAAATATGCCAGTGCCAAGTGCTAGTGAGGATGTGGAGTTTGAGGAATCTTTGTATTTGTCTGGTGGGGCTGAACATTTGAGTTAGAGACTACCATTGTAAAGTTGAATTTGGGTATGACCTTGTTCATGCATGACCCAGAAATTCGGCTTCCAAGTATAAGCCCTAGAGAAATTCATCTTGTAGAAAAGATAGTCGGCTCATTGCAATGTCACTCTTTTTTTTCTTTCTTAAGGCTAGTGCTCTACCATTTGACCCACAGCTCCCCCTCTAGCCTTTTGGTGGTTAATTAGAGAGAAGAGTCTCACAGACTTTCAGGAAGTTGAGATATGAGGACTGAGGTTCAAAGCCAGCCTAGGAAAACAAATCTGACATTTTTCCATTAACAAGTAAAAAGCTGAAAGTGGAGATGTGGCTCAAGTATTAGAGCCCAAGCCTTGAATAAGCCAATGATGTTGCTTGAGGCCCTTATGGTCAAGTCCCAGTACTGGCATCAAAAACACAGACAAACAAGTAAGACTGGATTCTCTCATCCACTCAACGGTATACAGCAAATAATGTGTGCAACTTTTGGTGGGCTGGGTGTCATTATAATTAGGCTAGAAGAGACAAAGTGCCCCTACTTATCGTCCATAGAGAGGAGAGATGGACCTGTGGGGCAGAGATATTGAGGATTCAGATTTACTCTCCAGGTCCTCATGTTTCAGCTTCTTGAGCAGCCAGGATTACAGGCAGGAGCCATCAGCACTCCACTGAGTGAATCTAGGTTTTAAAGGGTTATTGATACTGTATTCCAAAGTTACCTCATACTTTTCTTTTCTTTCTTTCTTTTTTTTAAAGATAAAGTCTTGCTGTGCTGCTCAGGCTAACCTCCAAATCTTTATCCTCTGGCCGTGGCCCTCCTAGTGCTGGGATTACAAGCATGTACCACCACACTGGGCTCCTAAGAATTATTTAGAATCAATATAGGTTGAAAATTTGTGTGTGGGCTATTTGAAATGGTTGAGAATTTGAAGGAAAATAAAGTGCATGTTTCTTTACCTTAAGCACTGTTTTGCGATTCCAGCCTGAGTGGCTGAAATGAGTCCCCCTGTGTCTGAAGTGGCGTTTCCTGACATGAAGTTGTTCTTGCATGCTGGATGGTGTGTTGAGACCCAGGCCTGGGAAGGAAGAGTGACACCCCAGCAAGAAGTTATGCCTGGAAATCTACACAGAAGGCCAAGCTGCTCTGCAGTGACTGCCTGGGAAACTTACCACGCTTCCAACGGCTCTTGACAAAAGAGTAATCCCAGAGTTGTTTTGTTTTGTTTTGAAGGAAGTTACTTTATTATTTGGCAATGAGAAGCAGTAATGAGAATACTTTTTTTTATGTGAAAATACTGTACAGAGGGGTTACAATTACATGGGCAAGATAATGAATACATTTATCATCAAGCATTGCTGCCTCCTCCTTTGTTTCCCCTTCCCATTTCTCACCCCCCCATACTTTTATTTTCAATTTGTGTATTCCCAGAATATAAGTAATATATGTACTTAATAATTTTATGACACCAATGTGATCACCAGCATGGATTAATTTATCTTGATTTTCTACAGCTGATTTGAAAAGGGTATTCGCTCACAGAAAGTCACCCCTCAACCAGGAACAGTCATCTTTTGAGAAGACTTATTTTCAAGAGTGACAGTATGCTTCTCTAACAATCCAGTCTTCTTTTAAGAATATATGGCAATAGATCATATTCCCACCTACTCTTTCCAGTCAACAGAATTTGCCTACTTAGGATTAACTCATAAAGTTGGTAGACTTGGTCTCCATTTTAAGACTATACTTTCTAAAATGCTAATACTTTGTAGCTCAGTGGTTGAACATTCTTTAGGAGGCACAAGGCACAGATTTCCATCTCTACTACTACAAATTAATTAATTTCTAATATTTTTTTACACAGGCTAGCTCAGGCTAGCCTCAAACTCTCCATCATCTTCATGTATCTATGAACATAAACATTTATCTATCTATCTATCTATCTATCTATATATCATGGAATCATTTTATTTATTTTTCATCAGCTCTTTGTATACTGATGAAAATTTACATGGAATCACACTATAGAATTTATGCATGTGGTCAGACATCACAGGACTTGAAATACTTCACACAGTATTCTAGTTCAAATTACTCTGCAGCTTATAAACTGTAGAAACTTTATTCTCATGTAAATCAGTTATTTGAAAGTTTATGCATCACTTTTAATAGATGTCAGTTTTATAGATTTATAATAGACTTACTTTGTCTGGGAAAAAGTTTAATCACCCTGTCTTTCTTTTTAGGTATTTAAACAAAAACAATGCTAGCTTTTTGTGTTTTTTTTTCCCCCCCCAATTCAATTGTCTTAAGTACAAATCCATTCTACACTATTTTTCAGCAACTGCTCCTGAAGCTCATCATCCCACAAGTTTAGAAACTACAGGCCTGACTCAGGGCTCTAAACAATAGATGATGGGTTTGAGTTGAGAACTAGCAGAGCTCCATATAACAAGCCACTAGCCTCAAAAGATGACGTGACATAGCTCTGGATAAAGAACTCATAATCAGGTGTTGGTGGCTCACACCTATAATCCTAGCTACTCAGGCAGCTGAGATCTGAGGATCATGGTCCAAAGCTAGCTGGGGTAGGAAAGTCAGTGAGACTCTTATCTTCAAAAAACCATATATCGTGAACCCATGACATATATATATGCCAATATAGATACATGACTATGTTAAGCTGGAAATGGTGCTATAGCCAAGTGGTAGATAGTAGCCTTGAGGAAAAGAAGCTCATGGATAGGCCCTGAATTCAAGCCCCAGTACTGGTTAAAAAAACAACAAACTCATGTGTTTTGATCTTTTGTGTTTATAGCTCTACTATTCTTTTGTTTGTTTTTTTTAAATTTTTTTTATTGTGAGAATACTGGAGCTCTACTATTCTTTATATATTACTTCCTTGCTTCAAAAAGAATTCTATTCTTTGACTCCATTTATACAAAGTTGTCATGAAGAGTAACCAGCATTCTGCCTAGAAAAAGCATACTGCTCCTAACCTGTTCTTCTCTTACTCTGTTCAATGGAAAGAAGGAAGTTATCACAGATCTTTCAGTGAAAAAATTTAGATACAATGTCAAAGGCTCGAGGAACTCCTGAGGGCGATCACACATCTGCATCTCTTTTTCTTTTTTTCACTTTCTTGTGTCAGTATTGGATTTTGAGCAGTGGCTGGACTGCTTCTAGCAAGTTTTAGTTTTGAGACAAAACCTCATTTCTTTAGTGCTTAGATATATTTTGGATAGAGTTTCCTGTGTTGACCAGGTCTGGCATATCTCCTAGTAACTGGGATCTCATGTCTGTGCCACATTGCTTTACTTCTTTTAACATTTTACTGTATGTTTGTGCAGGGCTGGGGTATTTCTTTCATTCTGCCTTTATAAATATGGATATATGTATATATATAATGATATATATATGATATGGTATGTGATATGTGATGTATATATTATATATATGCTACATATATGTGATATATATCATACTTACATATTTAGAATGTTCTTGGATTTTAACTCATGTTCTATCATGTTTTTATTGTTTCATGTTTCAGTCGATCCCACATTGGGAGGTATTGCCACTTTACAATCCTACTTGACCCGTCTCAATGTTTCTAGAACACTGGGGCTCTCTGGGCTGGGTAGGGCATAAACCAAGGCCATGGAATAACTTCAGCAGGGCCACCAGGAAAATCCTTCACTCTGGCATTAGTGCTTAAAGTGCCTTTTTACTCATTGTATGCTTCACACAGCCTGGGTAGGTAAGCACCAACAGATATGGAACACTGACCAAGTCCAGGCCTTTGGCCCAGCCACCCAACCAAGCCCTGGCAGATCTTGTAAAGCAGAGGATCCATGAACAGCAGACCATTGTCCATTGCTTATTCTGATTGCTCTATGGAGTTCCAGTAGAAAGCCAATCCAGACCTGTCAGCCTAAGCCTCCCCAGTGCTCTTGGTGGTATGGCTATTTCCATGGCTTTCTGCCAATCCACAAACATAGAAGGTGCAAAAGTTTTGTTTAAGTGTGCAAACCAGAAAAAAAAAGGTTTTTAAAAATGAGAGATTGCTTCCCTTATCACTAGTATTGAAAAAGACTTTACTAAACCAGCTATTCTACCGCCTGGTTGCTTAAGCTTGCCATGTTGTCTGACTGGATTACTGCTGCTCGAATTTTAAATGTTGAGCCACAGCACAATTCTGTTACTGGGATTAAAGGGAGTAATACTGTGGAAGGGTCTTGAGAGCATGCTCCTTTAGAGGAGTCAGATTCAGGGCGGGGAAGGAAAAGCCTTTATGTGGTGGCTCTACTGGCTGTTGGAACCCTTTTTTTGGATATTGGTGGTAGGGAGACCAAGGGACAGAGAGATGTAGGCTGCCTGATGTATTTTCAGGCTGCTGGCTCGTGCCCATCTTCCATCCCACAGGGCTCTGAGCTCCTGTCTGTGTCACTTTGGCATCCATATTTCCATTACAAAAGTCCACATTGGCAATTGGCAGACTTCTCTGACCATTGTGCTCCAAGTGATCAATGTACTGATTATAAGATTGCTAAATTGGAATGGTCTGCACCAAATACTTCCCTTATCTTTATGAATTCTTTGTAGAGTGTGTTTTCTGCATTGTAGGGGCTTGAGAATTGAGTCAACCTTGCCTGCATGATGTTTCTGTCAGTGAAAAACCATGCATGATGGTGGTCCTGTGAGATTTTATTGCCTAGTGACACCATAGCTGTGGCCATTTGTGGAAACACATCCTGATATTTGCACAATGATTGTAATCACCTAGTGACTTGGTTCTTAGAAGGTGGCCCTGTGAAGCAATGCTAATAAAAGCAAAACCATTCAAGTAAGGACATCATTCCAGTCATGTTAAAATAGAATTCTTTTTGAAGGCAATTATGGCCTTAAAATAGTGTGGCAGGAAGTAAGGTACTTAAAGTACCAATCTGTACTAACGAGAAAGTAATGATGACTGTGTGTTCATGGGGTTAGCCAGTGTTTGGAAAGATGTCTTTCCCTTCTCAGTGTTACCAAGGCTTAGGTGAAGTTGGTTCTGAGCAAAGGTAGTGAATTTTCAAATAAGAACTCTAGAGTATTCATTTTTGATGTTACACAAAAGCAGAAGTTAATGAGATTTATAATTGTTTCTCAAAGTCCTTTTGTCCTCCCTCGTCTGTGTGTCTGTAATCAAAGATGGTTTGTCACATAAGCCTCTTGTGTCATGTGTGGTATTGAGGTGAGGGGTAAGTTGTAAAACATCTCTCCCCTTTAGCTTTAAAACTTTCCTGACAGTCTGACATAGGAATAGTTTGTGAATCAAGCAATCTGTTTTCTGATATCAGAAATGGCAAATGTTAAACCACTTGTGTAAAAACATGGGAGTCCATAGGTATTGGTAGGATTACAATTTTTAGATAGCTTTAAGCTATGTCAGAGTTCTTTCATGTGATCCCCACTGCTCTTCTGTATGCTGTGTTCTCAAATTAAATACAAGAGGGAGACTATGTGAAGTATATGCTTTCAAGAAGACATCAGGCCTCGCTGACTCACACCTATAATCCTAGCCACTCAGGAGGCTAAGATCTAGATGATTGAGTTCAATGCCATCCAGGGCAGACAAATCCTCAAGCCTCTTATTCCAATTAACCATCAGAAATCTGGAAGTAGAAGTATGGTTCAAGTGGTAGAGCATCAGCCAGGAGTAAGATGCAGAGTTCAAGCCCTAATGCTAGCATACGACACCAAAACAAAATCATTAATGATACTTTTATATAAAATTTATTTAGTGGGTTTCTTTTTTCTTAGTGGGTTTTTTTTTCTTAATATATACCGAAATATAAAGTATCATGAATTTAGACATCAGTGGTGTGGTGCCTCAGATAGTGTGCCAAAATAGAATAGTTTATGTAACTACTCTTCGAAGTAGATCTCTACAGCAAAATCAGTGGGATAAAACCCACATATTTTTGGTTTATGAAGATTATCCAGTTCATTATGCCTCAGGTAAAGCCTAAGGATAGGAAGAAAAGCCATTACCTTTTATTTTAGGGCTAACAGAAAAGTCATACAATACAACACTCTTGTTTAGAAAGAGACTTGCTCCTGCAACCAGAAACTAAGCTCCATTTGCTTTCCTTACTTGGCTAATTCCACCTCTTGGAGGTGACATAGATACCTTAATTTTCAGATGCAAACACATTGGTCCCAACATGCTTCCAAGGGAATTAGTTACATCCAGTTTGAACAAACTATGAAAATGTCTATAATTGGCAGAAATTACCCACAAATATATTAGGTATGTAATGAAACTCAGTAATAAAATACTGTTTTGTTTCTTTTGTGTCAATAAGGGTCTTGTGATATCACTTAGCCTTTTCTGCTCAAGCTAAATCTATCACATCAGGCTATTTCACTGGCCAATTGAAAAGTCTCACAGACTTTTCTGCCTGGGCTGGCTTCAAACTGTGATCCTCAGATCTCAGCCTCCTATGTAGCTAGGATCAGAGGCCAGTGAGACACCAGTGCCTGTCTGTATCTCTTATTTCTTTTGTTTTTTTTTTACATTAATTTACTTTATTGTTATTATAAAGGTAATGTACAGAGGGATTACAATTACAGGAATCAGGTAATGATTACATTTCCTGTTGTACAATGTCTCTGTTCCCTCATTCTCTTCCCAGTCCCTTCCTCTCTCTCCACCCACAAGTTATATAATTCACTTTCATCTGTGTCCAGTGAGCTCCACTGCTGCCCTTTTTCACCCTTTATCCCTCAAGTTCTGTACTCTCCCCACTCCCTCCTTGAGGTATAGATGTGAATACACCACACAAAAACAAGACAGAACCATCACAAATTGATTTTTTTAAAAAGAGAGCTCTTATTTCTATATCGTGAAGTGCTAGCGCTCTCTCTCTCTCTCTCTCTCTCTCTCTCTCTCTCTCTCTCTCTCTCTCTCTCTCTCTCTCTCCCTCACACACACACACACACACACACACACACACACACAGAGTTTTATATAAATATGAAGAGGCATGTAGGCATTGTGTCTTTGTATTTCTATCCTAGGAGTATCTTCTTTTGGTCTCACTGTGTGTAAGTATCTAGAATCCTGATAACTTACCATATCCCAGTGTATTTTAGATCTAATTCTGTCTATCTCTCTCTCAAGTGACAAAGCTGTGTATTTGTCTAAATAACAACCTCATAACTGTTAAGAAGCTTTACAAAAGCAAGGCATGAAACGATACCAATTCCTACAGAAATGTCTATGAAATGAGGATAAAACATCCCCACCATCTCTCATGTGACCCTGGTGACATAAAGGACAAAGCTGTGCTTTACAACAACCACTTGGAGAAGGAGCAACGAGTAAAGGCCCCCTCGCCCCAAGCCCTGCCTTTGTTGAGAACTTTGCTCATCAGTCAAAGTTTGTTCATATACATCTAGAAAACTTGGTGAACATTTTGTCATTAAATAATTTACTCTTTCCCAAACCAAATTGTGTGTGAACATCACAAGTGTGTAGAACTGGTGTTTTCTTGGTGCTGTCTTACTAGACTGGAAGTATTAAGCTCAGTTCAGACTTGAAGAGAAGATTAACATTGGATATAACAAATACTATCAGTTCACACACACACACACACACACACACACACACACACGATGACACAAGGACAATCTCTTCAACTCTGGTCTTGAGTAGTTTTCACCACCTCAGGAAAAATACTCCTAAAAAGTGGAGAACTTGTAGGATCAGGAATGTGTTTCTAGATATGGTACTAGGTTCTTAAGAACAATGAACTTCTTTTTAGAAGCTCAGTTCTTAGAAAAACTTTTTAAAATGGGAGTCTATAAAATTAATGGTTTTCAGACTAATTAATACTTATCGGGCCTCGCCATTTCTGTCCTAGATGTAAATGTGCCAATGTAAGTTTGAGGTCAGCTAAAGCCTCCCTCGATGGATCACACCTTCCTTCAGTATTACCACAGTACACCCACACACCCTCAGGACCTGCCATATTCCAGGAACTGAGCAAATATAGACTTCCCTGGGAGGAACTGGTCATCACTAAGATCTGAGTAACTGCATTTTAACTTACACACCATCCCATGACTGGGGTTTTGAAATGGTTGCTCAAGGGGTTCTTTGTATTTGTGGTAAATGTACTTAGGACAGTGGGCAAAAAGACCTGCTACTGTAGTTTATACACAGACGTGGAAGATGAAGCTGTTTCTATTGGATTACATCATATCCTTACCAATTATTCTTTATCAACGAGGTGTGGAAGCACAAAAAGAAAGCACAGCTCTGGTAATATTTTGGAAGGTTCTAAAAACATAGGGTTAAAGAAAAAGGTTATTTTCATAATAAAATGGATACCAAGAACTAATGATCCCAAGAGATTAAAATTACTCCCTTATTTCTTTATGTATTTATCAGCTGCAGCCTTCTATACAAAGTACTCAGGGACTTTAGGAGAACACTCAATTAAACTGTAAAGGGTCAAGCTTAGTGCAGTAAAATAGAAAAATCTGTTAAATTGGATTTCATAAAAGAGCATTAGCAGCCTAGTGCTGGTGGTTTATGCCTGTAATCCTAGCTACTCAGGAGGCTGAGGTCTGAGGATTGGAGTTCAAAGCCAGCCTGGGCAGGAAAGTTTATGAGACATTTATCCCCAATTAAACCACCACAAAACCAGAAGTGGCACTGTGGCTCAAAGTGGTAGAGCACTAACTTGATCACAATTGCTCAGGGATAGACCCTGGCCCTGAGTTCTAGTTCCATGACTACCACCACCACCAAGAAAAAAGCATAGCAACAAAGTGAAAAACTAAGCCACAGAATGAAGGAAAATATATGCAAATCATGTATCTGATGATGGTGTTGTATCCAGAAGACCTCTTTCAATTAAAAAACAAAAGCCTGGGCTGGGAAGGTGGCTCAGTGGGGGCGGGGTTGAGTTGCCTTTTAGGAAGCTTCTCAGTAATACCTATTTCCTTTTTTTTCTTTCTTTTTTTTTTTTTGGTCTAGTCCTAGGGCCTGAACTCTGGGCCTGGGCGCTGTCCCTCAGCTCTTCAGCTCAAGGCTAGCGCTCGACCACTTGAGCCACAGCGCCACTTCCGGCTTTTTTCTTTTTGCTTATGTGGTGCTGAGGAATCAAACCCAGGGCCTCATGCATGCAAGGCAAGTGCTCTACTACTGAGCCACCTTCCCAGTCC